CAAGGCTGGCAGGCAGTACACTGGTTGTTGACTCCAACAAAAGATGAATCCAAGATCTCCAGGCCGAGTGGTGGGCTGCTCACTCACGGAAGTCTGTAGTCCGCATACCAGGGTTCCAATCCCTCAAAGAATGTGTCTCTTCCCAAGATGTCCCTGGATGTCTTGGTAGCAGGCCACACCCCTAGGGAAACTCCCCTTGGACAGACTGGCCACTCAGAACACAGTAATCTAATCCCATCATGGGAACAACCACACAGAACTGGGGTCCAGTCAAGTTGACATACAGCTCCAACTATCACACCTGTGTAGCAACTTAGAACCTGTGTCTTATAAAATAAAACTTTAATGAATACCAATGGAGAAAAGTGAAAAACATGATTATATTTAGAGTATTTGTTCAACAAATATTAATTAAGCACTTATTGTCAAACACTGAACTAAGGATTGGAAGTACAGTAATAAGTAAGAAATGTATATTTCTACTCTAAGGAAACTTTGTCTAGTAGAGGAGTTTGTTTATAAGTAATGAGTACAAAATGTAATATGATGAATACATGCTAATAAACAGAGCACTGTGTTGAAAGAATTAAAGAGACATAAATTTTTACTATAAGAATGCTCTAAAAATGGATTAAACAGTTATTTTTAAAGGCAAAGAACATCTTTTATAGCAATATCTTAACTTGGAAAAGACTAAAGTTTTACTACTTAATAACAAATAGAAATTACTATTCTATTTCCCATTCAAAAAATCAAGATGATAGTAAGTTGCTGCATAAGATGTCAGTCTCTTTATTAAAGATGTTTTACTAAAAAGTGAGATTTAGTTGAAATGATGTTCAATTATAATTTAAATGTACTAATAAAAGTACTGATTTCAATGTATTCTAACTTTGCTGTAAATTTTGGTTTAAAGTATTTTGAAATAGTTTCCTTAGGTAAGGTACACCCTACAACCAACAAATCAAGTAGTTAGCAAATCAGTAGATGCTAGAAGAATGAGATGTTTGCTTGAGTTCACTACCAAATGAAACCAAACCAAACTCACTGCTGTTGAGTCAGTTCCAACTTATAGTGACCCTCTTTGGGTTTTTGAGGCAGTATCTCTACATAAGTAGATTGCTGTCTTCCTTCCAAGGAGTGATGGTGGGTTTGAACTGCCATCCTTCCGGTTAGCAGTCAAATTACTTAGGCACTATGTCACCAGAGCTCCCAAGCTCACCACAGTGGAGTAAAATCTCCTAGTTGGAGGAGAATAGCCAATAGTTTGTATGTTATAATTACATTTTTACTTAAATTGCATGTATTTAATATTAATAATCAATGAATTCCATATTGAATGAATAATTATTACTCATTTAATAAACACAGAATAATTGTATTTTGAACACCAGGCACTGGAAATTCCACCAAGAGTTAAAAAAAAAAAAAACATGGTCTTTTGCTTTTAAAAACATAGGATCCATTTTCCATAAGTAACTTAGTAGCATGTTTGGTCACTTTATTGATAGGAGGAGAAAAATTGAAATGTATAACCAAATTAAGTTAGTGGACTATAATTCTTTTATTCACTCAACAAAATCTAATGAGCATTCTTAAAGTGCCACACTATATTCTGGAGGCTGGAAATACATCAATACAAATTTCCAGTCACATGTATAGTAAATATAAGTTGGAGTAGAAAGACATTATAAAACCAAACCAAACTCACTGTCTTTGAGTCTATTCAACTCATAGCAATCCCTTCTTCGGTTTCCGAGGCAATATCTCTGTGTTAATAGGTTGCCAAATCTTCCTTTCGAGGAGGGGCTGGTAGGTTTGAACCACCAGCCTTCTGGTTAGCAATCAAATGCTTTAGGTACCAGAGCTCCCAGAAAGACATTAAGTAACACACATATGTCAGGTGAAGATAAGTAAAGTGGAGAAAAATAAAACTTAGGAAGATGTGAGTGCTAGCAACTAGGGTAACTGTTATCAGGGCAAGTCTCTCTGATGGGGTGACAGTGAACAGAGACCTGAAAGAAGGGAGGAAGCTGTCCTGCAGGCAGCTAAGGACAGAGCATTCTAGGTGGAAGAACATCAACCATAAAAGAGAAAAGGACTAAGCATCCAATACAACATGCAGTGAAGAATAATCTGTAATTGGTCTATTATATAATGACTGCATTCTTTCTACTGCTTAAACTTTTTCTTGCTAGCTCATGTAAACTTCTGTTTAGTAGATAACTGCTGTATTCTCATGTTAGAAAAACTGCAAAAATAGCCCTTGGAAATTTTGAATTTACCTGACATTAAATTTGGTTTTTAAAGTTTCACCAAATTTGGTGCTGCTTTGGAAAAAGGATAGTAAGAAAGGTTGCACAATTCAAAGAATGTAATAAATGTCACTGAATATTACATATAGTAATTACTGAGATGGCATATGCTTTGTTACGTACATTTTCACCACAATAAAAATAAAATTTCAGCAAATTATGCCCTAAATGTTAACAGGAAGCTTTTATTATATTTCCCCAAGAACTTAATCATAGTGATCCCTCCTTGAGTTTCTGAGGTGGTATCTCTATGGAAGTAGATTGCCCAGTCTTCCTTCCAAGCAGTGGCTGGTGGGTTTGAGTCACCAGCCTTCTGGTTAGCAATCAAATGCCTTCGGCACTACTCCACCAGAGTTCCTGGAAGAACCTAAGTTATTGTTGAGATAGGAAGAACAGGAAAGGTTTAGAAAAAGTAAGTTGTGGAAGCTAATATAATATATTTTTTCTTGGAAAATATGTTAGTATGCTATCTTATAGTCCAACAAAAGCATGTGACTGTTGTTTAAATCATACAGGTTATCAGTGAGCGGGCCAGACAAATGAAGACAGATGAAGAATGTAGAGATGATTATGACAGGGACTCGAGCCCCATCAAAAATAAACGCAAGGCTTTTCTTGACTTGCTTTTGAATGCAACTGATGATGAAGGAAAAAAGCTAAGCCATGAAGACATTCGAGAAGAAGTTGACACCTTCATGTTTGAGGTATTTTATATTGCCATGTCATTTTCAGATATCATTAAACAAATTCCAGTTGTTTATAGAATCTCTATAACAAATTTTAATGTTGCTTAATAAAAAGCTGGGGAAACTCATTATATTAAGAAATCACAGTAAAATTTAAGAACCAGATTAAGTACCAGATCAACTCCATTCTTGAGAAAAATGTTTTGACTTGTGGTAGGTACAGAGGTAGACATATTTTCCCTCAAGAAAGCTAAAGTCTGTCAGATATTTTCTAAGCAAAAGAGTAGCCAGAAATTACTCAGTTTTCTATATTTTTGCATGCTTCCTTTTTACCTCCCAAATCCACAAGTCCAATTCTCACTACCTTCTCCTTCTAGCAAATAAGTGCTTAGCTGCTGCAATGAGTTATTCTAGCTAAAGAGATAATAAGAATACTCTAATAAAGAATTTAATCCCTATGTGATTCTCAAGGGATTTCTGGTCTTCCTAAATAATAATAAAAAGGAACTTTTTACAAAGATAATTTTAAATATTAAATATTACAAAGAGTGAATCTCTCTGTATTTAGATTACCAAGCGAAGATAAAGAAGTGTTTTGAAGAGGCAATATGTGGTAATATTCTCAAAGTGAAGGACAATGAAAGGCATCTGTAGTTTTCTGTGGTTCACTATGCTAGACGTCTTAGCTGCTCTGCAAACAACAATCTGATAAAATACCAATGCATTCTTCCTAGTGGGGTAAGACTCTACCACCCAGTAGAAAGCAAGCTAAGCTAAGAGTCTATAGACCTGAATTCTAGTTCTGGCTCTCCACTGACCAAATATATGACATGGTTCTACTCAGACCAGGTCTCTGGTACAGGTTCTGTATGTACAAAAGAAAGAGATGGACTACAGCACATGGTTTTAATTTTTTTTTTTTTTTTTTTTTTTAAGCAAAGCATTTTGTTAAAAAGAAATTTTACGAACATGTACTTTAGCTAAAAAGTGAAGTAATGCCATGTTTAGCGGCTCTGTGGTATTTTAGAAGTATGACTTTGGACACCTTACTTAGCTTTTCTGGGGCTCAGTACCCTCATTGTAATATCATTGGCCTCATGGAATAGTGATAATGATTAGATTTGTTGTTGTTATGTGCCGTCGAGTCAGACCCGACTCATAGTGACCCCTCCTTGGATTTCCGAGGCAGTATCACTATGGAAATAGATTGCCCCATCTTCCTTCCACGGAGTGCCTGGTGGTTTTGAACTGCCAGCCTTCTGGTTAGCAGTCAAGAGCCTTAAGCACTGTGCTACCAGAGCTCTAATGATTAGATTAGACAATAGGTAAATATGTGCCAGGAATTGTGCCTGGCACATAGCAAGTATGCAGTGAATATCACTTATTACTATTTGATATTGGAGAAGCCTACTCATATCTTTGCATTCATGTGTATAGACACACATACACACACATATACTCACACACACATACATACAGGCATACATACACACATACATACACATATACACATGCATTCATACTTACATGCATACACAGGCATACAAACATACCCAAAAACCAAAACCAAACTCGTTGCTGTAGAGTTGATTCTGACTCATTGTACCCTATAAGACAGAGTAGGACTTCCCCTTAGGGTTTCTAAGACTGTAATCTTTATGGAAGCAGACTGCCTCATCTTTCTACCATGGAGTGACTGGTGAATTCGAACTGCTAACCTTTTAGTTAGCAAATAAGCACTTAACCACTGCACCACCCAGGTCGTCTCTACAAATGTATGCATATATGCAAACATACATGCCATATATATGCATACACACATACATACTTACATACATAGGCATGTACACATACATACACACATGCATGTACATACATATATACACACAAATACACACACACAGACACACACACATCAGTCCCCCAGCAGTGATTTCTTACTTCCATGAAAACAACCAGATTAAGTTGTCTCTTTATTCTGACTTTACCCTTTGAAACTCTAAATTTTTTTTTTTACTTTGAGTAGAGGCAGCTCATATAAAAGTATGATACTGTGACCTTTTTCTCCACAAGATGGATACAGGCTAATATTAACTTGCTTTTCATGCCCAGGTTCTGATTACTGAATAGTAAGGTTTTTGCTTTTCCACCAGTGTTTTCTAGAAACTCTGTGCTTTATATTTTGATTCATCTGGCTTTCTGCATTTATCAAGTAAAGTGAAATAGTAAGTTCACCAGACTTCTCCTAGACATTGGATAAGGCTTCCACTCTTAAATTTAAGAAAATCTTATGAAAACCATGTAGCAGGAGAACTTACTATGTGACTCAGTAGACAAATGAGCAAAATGGGCAGATCTTGTCTTCAGTGTAGAGATTTTCCCTAAAGGAACTATGAGTGTGAGTTAATGCTTTGAGGTGCCAACCAGAGACTAGTAAAATATATGTATTCTTTTTAAATGTAGATTTGAACTTAGAAACTATTTTATAAAACAAGTACTTCTGAGATTTCTACACAGAAAATGAAATGTCACAATGATCACTTGTGCTGCAGAGTAATTGAAAATAAAAGGTCTTCCAGAGAGAAGTTTTCTTAAATTCAAAGAGCTATAATATTAGTATTGATTCTCCAAACTTTTTTTTTTTTTTTTCTGAAGAGCTCATCACTTTTGTGTGTGCAGATGTCCTGCTGAGATGAGGATAGGAGCTAAGAGGCCAGTGCCTGAAACGGGAAATGGGTACCAAGTGAAGTTGCCCATAATGTTAATGTGGGCACTAGAGGTGGAGTCTTCTCATATGGATCACTTTACAAGTATGGGAAGAAGAGCATGGGCTTGGCACTGTCGTCCAATACTGTAGGAGTTCGATTCCTGCCTCTGCTTCATACTAAGCTGTGTTACTTAACGTTTTTTTTTTTTTTTTTTGGCAGTGTTAATTATAAGAATTTCAAGGAGTTTTAAGTAGCTCTGGTGGTATAGTGGGTAAGGAATTTGGCTGCTAATCAGTGTTGTCAGTGGTTCAAACCCACCAGCTGCTCTGCAGAAGGAAGATGAGGCAATTTACTTCTATAAAGATTTACTTGGAAAGCCTTGGAAATCCTGTGGGGGTCATTATGAGTTGGAATCGACTTGATGGCAGTGGGTTTTGGTTTTTGTGATGTTTAATTGAGATAATTTTTGCAAAATACTCAGTATTTTTCATAACAATTGGCAGATATTAAGAGAGACTATTTATTAATCTCTGTGCTTGTGCACATTTGCATTTACTCCCTGCAGCCCAACATCAAGTGATAATGCCTGCCTTACAAATCAGGGATGGTAGAGCAGTCCAGATCTGGCAAGCAGGCTCATGAAAGTCAGACATGTTTCCCTTACACTAGTTCCAGCTTACCTTGGACTGTCTGCCTTCCCACCCTCATCCCTATTAGCAGTGCTCAGGCATTTCTTACAAAGTATGCAACACTGAAATGTCACCTCTAAGCATGGCCTTCTCCTCTTAAAGAATTGTTTTATTTGTTTCTCACTGAGGCGCAATGATATAGGGAATTAATTTGTTATATTGTGTAGTCACATTGCAGATGTCAAATCCAGAGACAGTTCAAAATAACAACATAGTCCTTCCTCACCTTTTGAATATAACTCTGCTTTTTAAACTACTTTTTTCCTTATACTTTTAGGGCCATGATACAACAGCAGCAGCAATAAACTGGTCCTTATACCTATTGGGATCTTATCCAGAAGCCCAGAAAAAAGTCAACATTGAACTGGATGAAGTGTTTGGTATGTTTAGTTCTTACACTGATTACACTGTGGGTATCAAGTCTACCCACAAAGTACAAACTAATGTTCTTGCTCATTAAAAGTATGCAGTGGGACCTCTTCTGAAGATACCTTAGTAAGCAGCAAGGATCTCTTACAGGACCCCTTCCAGTTCCAGTCTCCTTTGCAAGACATCATCCATGTCTTTTTCTAAGCTAAATGTTTATATCCAGACATTTACTAATCACCTGACATATGACTGCACTGGGCTACATGTTGGTTATGCACAGGTAGATTAATTATTGTTCTCAAGGGTCTAAGTCCTTAATAGGTGATACAGACACATGTATATACAGCGTTCCATCATGGGTGTGTATTTGAGTGGTATGAAGAAAGTGCTTTCTGGGAGCACAGAGGAACAAGTGAAGCTAGTTAGAGGGGTCAAGAAAAGCTGTTTCATATAGGACTTTATCTGGCCACAAATAAAGAAAAAATGGGTCAAACTGATAGGAATGCATTTGTATCATATAACAAGTAATCTTGCAGTAAGGAGACCTGGGCTGATGCCTATGGGTCTTTCGCTAGGATCCCAAGCTCTTTATCACATTGATTTTTGTCTTCTTGATTCTTGTCACAAGTATCATATTCATCTTCAAGACAAGAAGAAAGGAGGAGGGAATGAGTGTATTAATTTCTTTGTCTGTTTTTAACAAATCACAATTTCTTTTAAAAGAAAGAAATTTATGCCATCACAATTCTGTAGGCCAGAAGTCTGAAATCAGCTTCAATGAGCTTAAGTCAACGTGTCAGAATAATCACACTCTTGCAGGCTTTAGGGAAGAATATGTTCCTTGCCTTTTCTAACTACTTATGACTGCCAGAATTCCTTAGCTTATGGCTGCACTGATCCAATCTCTCACTCTGTCTTCACATCACTCCATGTATGTGTGTTCAGTCTCCCACTGTCTCCCTCTTGCGAGGAAAATTGTGATGGCATTTGTGGTCTGCCTAGACAATTTAGGAAAATCTGCCCATCTCAAAATCCTTAACTTAGTCATGTACACTCTTTTTCCAAATAGAGTAATATTTACAGGCTCCAGGGATTAAAATACATTGCCATAGAGTTGACTCCAAGTCATAGCCACGCTATAGGATAGAGTAGAACTTCCTCACAGGAAGTTCCGAGGCTGTACATTTTTATGGAAGGTATCTTTCTATAGTGGAGTGGCTGGTGGGTTCAAACCACCAAACTTTTTGCCAGCCCTCAGGCATTTAACCACTGCATCAACAGGGTGTCCTTCCAGGGATTAGAACCTATAGTTAATTAGAACTTGATGTATTTGGGGACCTTTAAAAGATTACCGCAAAGATCCACTCTTTGGAGAGAATAATCATGGAAGAATAGAAGTGTGTATGCACAGGGATATAGCACAGAGGGCAGGAGTGCATGGAGGAAAGGACACAGGGAAGAGGTAACTATGGGGAGGAAGTGGGAGCGGAGGTGTAGTGTTGTGGTAATTGTAGTCAATGTCATGAGACAAAGTGTATGTGAACTGCTGTATGGTAAGTGAATTTGCTCTGTAAACTTTCAGCCAAATCACAATTAAAAAAAAAAATTAAAAAAAAAAAAAAGACTACCACAAAGGTTTTTCTTTTTTCTTAAGTTACATGTTACATGGCTACCATAGCTAGAAGGACAATAGGAAGAAGGGGTTATGGACTGATGTAACCTACCAACAATGTGGTTCCTAGTGCAGCTTCATCAAGAGAAGAAGGAAGGGAGGAATTATAAAGGAAAAAAAGGAGGAGAGGGAAGTCATTACATATAGAGAGGAAACATGAACAATACCACATGTCTTAGTGTCCTACTGTAACAAAATATCACAAACTGGTTGTCTTGTAAGAACAGAAATGTATTGTCTGCTGTTTTGGAGGATAAAGGTCCAAATCAGGATATCATCTGTATTGATTCCTTCTGTAGGCTCTGAGAGAGAAACTCTGAGAGAAGCTGCTTTTCTTCCAGCTTTGGGCATCTCCAGGTACTGCGTGGCTTGCAGTGACATCATAGCATAGAATCCTTCCTCTGTCTTTTTGTCTCTTTGTACCTTCTTCTCTTTTATAAGGACATCAGTAATATAGAATCAGGACCCACCTTACTCCTGTATGTTATTGCTCTTAAGAGTCCTCCTGTTGGTTCTGACTTGTGGCACCCCTATGTACAACAGAATGAAACACTGCTTGGTTCTGTGCCATCTTCACAATCATTGTTATGCTTGAGCCCACTGTTGCTGCCACTGCATCAATACATCTAATTGAGGTCTCTCACTTGTTCTCTGACCTTCTACTTTACCAAACATAATGACCTTCTCCAGGACTTGTTCCTCCTGATACCATGTTCAAAGTATGTGAGACCAAGTCTTACCATCCTTACTTCTAAGAAGCATTCTGGCTGTACTTCTTCCAGGACAGATTTTTTCGTTCTTCTGGCAGTCCATGGTAAGTCAGTATTCTTTGTCAACTTTATAATTCAAGTGCACCAACTTTTCTTCTGTCTTCCTTATTCATTGTCCAGCTTTCACATGGATATGAGGCAGATGAAAATGCCATGGCTTGAGTCAGACACATCTTAATCCTCAAGGTGACATCTTTGCTTTTTAACACTCTAAAGAGGTCTTCTGCAGCAGATTTGCCCAATGTAATACATCATTTGTTTTCTTGACTCCTGCTTCCATGGGTGTTGATCCATGGGTGGGTCCACGTGAAATGAAATCCTTGACAACTTCAGTCTTTTCTCTCTTTATCGTGATGTTGTTTATGGGCCAGTTGTGAGTATTTTTGTTTTCTTTATGTTGAGGTGTAATCTAAACTGAAGGATGTAATCTTTGATCTTCATCAGGAAGTCAAGTCCTCTTCACTTTCAGCAAGTTAGGTTGTGAAACCTGCATATTGCAGATCGTTAAGGAGTCTTCCTCTGATTCTGGTGCCAAGTTCTTCATAGATCCAGCTTCTCAGATCATTTGCTCAGCAAACAGATTGAATAAGTATAGTGAAAGGATATGAACTCCATGCACACCTTTCACTTTGTTCTGTTCAAACAACAGCCTCTTGGTCTATGTACAGGTTCCTCAAGAGCACAATTAAGTATTATGGAATTCCCGTTGTTTGCAATTTTATCCATAATTTTTTATGATCCACATAATCAAATGCCTTTGCATAGTCAATAAAACACAGGTAAATATCTTTCTGCTTTGATCCAAGATCCATCTCACATCAGCAATGATGTCTCTCATTCTTCTTTTGAATCCAGCTTGAATTTTTGGCAGTTCCCTATCAATGTATAACTCCAGCATAAGCTCCTGTTAACCAAACTGGTAACATCTTCAAAGAACCTCTTCAAAACAGTGTCACATTCACAGGGATTAGGACTTTGCTGTATCTTTTGTGGAGACATAATTCAATCCATAACAGTGCAGAACTGGAAAGGTTTTCAGTTTGGAGAGTAAGAACAAATAGTGAGGGAGAGCTAGAATTAAGGACATTTGATAGAATGCATTGAGAAATGAGGTAGGAAATGCAGTTTGATGTTCAGATTATATAGAGTGGAATTTCACATCAAGAAATAAGACTTCATTTTATAGAATGGAGACAAAACTTTTTGACCCCTTTTCTATAGTCAGGAGCTCTGGTGGCATAGTGCCTAAGGCACTTGACTGCTAACCAGAAGCCTGGCAGTTCAAACCCACTAGCCACTCCATGGAAGGAAGGTTAGGCAATCTACTTACGTAGAGATACCACCTCATAAACCCAAGGAGGGGTCGCTATGAGTCAGATCTCACTCCACGGCAGTGGTTGCATTGCTGTAGTCATTTTATTTTTTCTCTATTGGTTTTAATTTCTCTCATATTGCCTCTGGTGGATAATTTTTTTTCTTCTAAAACCTCTGAGGTCTCATAGAATAAGTTCCCATCTTTTGTATCCTCATTCCTGGTCTCACAATTACTTTCTAATCTCACATAATTAACAATGCAATCATTACGACTATTTGTTTTTTGCTGCTTCTCACGTTTTCTGCTTAGTGTGCCTCAGTCTTTCACCCTGCCAACATTAGTTCTGAAGTTTTTTGAAGCAATTAATCTTTGGATATTGAATTACAACTATTGACTCCTCATGATATTTTTTTCCTTACCCAAGTATTATTCACATAAGATAAAACTAAACATTTTAAAGCGCACAATTCAGTGGCATTTGGTACATGTAGTATTTTTCCTTATTACCTCTTTCTAATTCCAAAACATTTTTGTCACCTAAAAGGAAACTCCATACCCATTAAGCAGTTACTCCTCATTCCCCTTTCTCCCAACTTCTGATTACCACCAATCTCCTTTTGGTCTCTGTTAATTTGCCTATTCTGGGCATTTCATATAAATGGAATAATGCAATATGTGACCATTTGTGTACAGCTTCTTTCACTTAGCATATAGTCCCATGTTATTTTGATTATGCATTAGAAATTCTAGTTTATAGCTGTGGTATTTATCATTCCATGTGTTGATTAACATGTTCTTTGGTGATGTCTCCACCCCCCAAGTCCCAGTAGTTCTTGCATTGCATGGTCTTATGTACTCACTTTACTCAGGGAGGTCTGATCGCCCTGTTACCTTAGAAGATCTGAAGAAACTCAAGTATCTGGAATGTGTTATTAAGGAGAGCCTTCGCCTTTTTCCTTCTGTTCCTTTATTTGCTCGGACTCTTACTGAAGATTGTGAAGTTGGTGAGTATTACAGAATTGGATTATAGAGCAGATTTTTGAAATGTCTGTTTTGCTTCATTCTCATGGCATATTGCCTGTTCCTTGACAGCGGGCTACAAAATTTCAAAAGGTACTGAAGCTGTCATTGTTCCCTATGCACTGCATAGAGACCCAAAATACTTCCCAGATCCTGAGGAATTCCAACCAGAAAGATTCTTTTCAGAGAACATGCAAGGACGCCATCCATATGCATATGTGCCTTTCTCTGCTGGACCCAGAAACTGTATAGGTTTGTATCCATCAGAATTGGTTTGAACTTTCAGGCCCTCATGATAGTGGGTTTCTCACAATAATTTCTTAGAGATATAGTGTAACATTGCCCAAACATGACAGTTCTAAAGTTTCCTTTTTCTTCCACTTTACTATTTATTGTAATTTTTAAATATTACTATTGTGTGTCATGGTAGAATTTAAAACTTTCGTAGGTTTTGGACTACAGCAGAGTATAATCTGTTTTGCTGGAAAATTTTGTATACAATTAATTGTGTTTAGCCTAATTTTTTCTGTTTGTTGTTTTTAAGAATTGCATTTTGCAAAACCAAAACAAAGAATGCATAACAAATGGCCAATTGAAGTACATAAAGAAAAATGAATGCACATTACCATGCATTACAAATACTTCTGGCTTTAGTATCTCCAGCATTTTTTATCATTTATGTAAATGTAAAATTATCATTCATATAAAATGTTAATTACCAGAAAAAAATAAGAAATCAGTAAAATAAGGACAGATATAAGTGAGTAAATAAAAAATAGATTTGGTGACTCTATAGAAAATTAAATTAAAGGCCCAATAAGAAAACAATCTGGAGTAGTGATTCGAAAGCTTGAGTTAGCCTGGCATTCATCAGAGGTACTGTTAAAATATAGACTCCCTGGCCTCTCCCTAGCTATTTAGATACATTGAAGAGATTGTGGAGGTGCTCAGGAATCTACATTTTCAGCAAGCATTCCAATGAGGGATGAGAGCATTCTGATTCTCCTAGAGCCTTCTTTGAAAATCTAAACTTGCTTGCTTCCTCTAAAAGAGCCTGTTATTTCTCATATTTGAGAACTATCTATAATAAAATGAGAGTATTTATTTTTATTTAAAGGTCAAAAGTTTGCCATATTTGAAGAAAAGACCATTCTTTCTTGCATCCTGAGGCGGTTTTGGGTTGAATGCAACCAGAAAAGAGAAGAACTTGGTCTGACCGGAGAGCTGATTCTTCGTCCAGATAATGGAATCTGGATCAAGTTGAAGAGGAGAAACTCTTAAGGAATCCTGACTATAGTTTTTGGGTTATGCCTTTATCATCTTTTCAGAGAAACTTGGCATTTAAAATTTATAGACCATGCCTTCAATGCCATTAATTCCAAGGCCTCATTTTCATGGCCCTACATACGTTAGGATCAAATCTACCAAAGAAAGAGATTTTGTACTTTAATGATCACCTTAGATAACTACCCCTGGTCTCCATGTCAAAAGTTGATCATAGGTTGATTCTGTTTCAATTGAAAGATCGAAATGGTGTCATTTAAATGAACTTCTGGATCCTTTTTAGAGTATTCTTATTGACTCAGAAACATATATATGTCTTACATATAATTTGAAAAGGATGAATAATTAAATATTTTGACTTAGGCTTAAGTTTTCAGATTACATCAGGGACATTAGTTACGAGAAAAATAATTATTGTAGCACTTCTCAGATTTTATCATCTACAGCAGATGACTTACATGTAGACTCATGGATTCTTTTCCAGTTTTTCTTTTGTCTGTAAACTTATAGCACTCATTTCATTCTTCATAACATCATAGTTACCTTTATTTATCCTACAACATTGGGAGAGGTTCCTTTTGGTAATCCCCATTCCTTCGCAGTGCCTCTAAAACAAACAAACAAATAAACAAACCAAACTCACTGTTATCAAGTCGATTCTGACTCATAGTGACTCTCTTTGGGTTTCCAAGGCAGTAAATCTTCATGGAATTAGATTGCCCAGTCTTCCTTCCATGGAGCGGATGGTCGGCTTGAACTGCCAACCTTCTGGTTAGCAGTCAAATGCTTTAGGCACTACGTCACCAGAGCTTCTTTTGCAGTGCCTGTAGAGTTGATTAATGGTTCCTGGAGCTTATCTAGTTATCCTTCTTTGCATTATAAGTAAGGGAATGGAATCAAAGAGAAAGTAAGTTTTTGTCCAAAGTAATGCCACTAGTTGGTGACTAAGCTGGAAATAGATCAAAGTCTAAATCTCTCTATTCCAAATCTGATACCCTTTATGCAACAATATGCTATTGCTCTTTAGAGCTCAAACCTATGATTAGGCGTTTCATTAGAATTTTCATTTTTGCCTCTGATTTAGCCATATTTCCTCTAAAATTTTTCATCCTTAAAGAGAAAAAGAAGCCATTCATCTATATTTAAAACCAGTTGCCATCGAGGTGATTCTGACTCATAGCAACCCTATAGGACAGAGTAGAACTGCCCCATAGGGTTTCCAAGGCTGTAAACCTTTATGGAAGCAAACTGCCTCATCTTTCTCGCATAGAATGACTGGTGGGTTTGAACTATTGACCTTTCATTTAACAGCTAAATGCCAAGGCTCCTCATCTATATTTGTTGTTGTTGTTATGTGCTGTTGAGTTGGCCCCGACTCATAGCGACCCCTCCTTGGGTTTCCGAGGCAGTATCACTACAGAAGTAGGATTGCCCAACCTTCCTTCCGAGGAGTGGCTGGTGGGTTAGAACCGCCAGCCTTCTGGTTAGCAGTCAAGTGCTTTAGGCACTATGCTACCCAATAATATCTCAGTTTAATGTTAGACTTTTAATGAATACAGTTATCCAGAATATACCTATCAATATGATAAATGATGCACACATTTTTTGAATTTTAAATCCATAGAGAATACCTCCATTTCTTCATTGAGTAGCTTTTAAAAACTTCTTTTAATAATTCTAACAAAATTATTTTAAAAAATCTTCCCAAGGCAATTAAAAAAACCAAACTCACTGTCAGTGAGTCATTTCTGACTCATAGCAACCCCCTTTGGGTTTCCGAGGCAGTAAATCTTGATGGAAATAGATAGCCCAGTCTTCCTTCCAAGGAGTGGCTGGTGGGTTTTAACTACCAGCCATTTGGTTTGCAGTCAAATGCCTAAGGCACTATGCCACCAATGTTATTGTTGTTATGTGCTGTTGAGTCAGACCCTACTCATAGCGATCCCTCCTTGGGTTTCCAAGGAAATATCACTACAGAAGTAGATTGCCCAACCTTCATTCTGAGGATTGGCTGGTGCGTTTGAACCGCCAGCTTTCTGGTTAGCAGTCAAGTGCCTTACGCACTATGCTACCAGTAGAAATAGCAAGACAATGGAATATATATTCTCTAAAAATATTAAAGGGAAAGTTTACAAAATAAAAGCCACTAGGCAGACACTATAGCCTGGGGCATCTAGAACAAAGTCAGCACCTTCAAATATTTCACTATCCCAAAGAGCAATAGTCCATATAACTCAGTTGTAAAAATGATGATAAAAGTTGAAGTATATGATATATTTACAAAACTTTTTTTGTCAAATGGTTAACCTTGTTTTCCAGAAAATGGGTATATGTAGAAAATCTTGTTCCAAGATGATTTTAGGTAATTGTGGTTTTATTCTTGGAAATTGACATAATTTCTAAGTTTTATGCCCTTAAATTTAACCTTTGTCTACTTTTTTGTGACCCTGCATTAGACTCTAAGTTAAAATAAAGCATTACTTAGTGGCCGTATTTTTAGCTTCAGAATAATTTTTATTCATGTTTTAATTGGTAATTCATTTAAGCCATGTCAAAATTGAAATTTTTGAAAAATTGTATGTTGTGCAGTATCAAAATACTGATCCTGATTTTTTTTTTAATATGAGGATGGTGAAATACCTGTTTATGTCTCTTGTTACTTGTCCCCATGCCTGTTTGAAAGAGATATTTCAAGAAAAATAAATTTCATTTTAGACATGAGTATTGTATTTTATTCTGAGAACAATGTTAATTTGAAATATAGATAAATGATTAATTGGTGGGTGGCTTATTCTTGATGAGTAATAAAAGAAATAACATTTTTGAATGGATGCCCTCAATGACACTAGGGCTTTCTTACAAAATATTCATTGTGCCATTGTCACAGACTGATTTTGAGTTTCCTTAACTCTGAAGAATAAGAAGAAACAGCAGAACATTTTGCTCAGCTCATAAAATTTCCTCAGTGAAATTTCCTAAGGCTACCTGGGAATCAATAGAAACCACAAGCATCATTAGGTTCCAGCCATCAAAAGACTTTTCCAGGTGATAGAATTGGTGCCCCATTCACTGTTGTGATGTGCTGTCGAGTCATACCCAACTCACAGTGACCCCTCCTTGGGTTTCCGAGGCAGTATTACTACAGAAGTGGATTGTCCAACCTTCTTTCCGAGGAGTGGCTGGTGGGTTTGAACCGCCAGCTTTCTGGTTAGCAGTCAAGTGCCTTAGTCAGTATGCTACCAGAGCTCCCATCCCATTTGTTAGCTGAGACAAATGATGAGAATGTCAGATTCTGGGCCAGTTACCTGTTTTGTAGTTAGGAAATGCTGATCACACACGCACACATGATACATTTTTACTCTAGAATATATATGTTGTTGTTATGTGCCGTCGAGTCGGACCCGACTCATAGCAACCCCTCCTTGCATTTCTAAGGCAGTATCTCTAAGGAAGTAGATTGCCCCATCTTCCTTCTGAGGAGTGGCTGGTGCATTTGAACTGCGAAAATCAAAATATCTTTCTTTCCAACATGTAATGAAATGACTGTGGTAGATGTATTATTAAATGATTGGTCTACCTAGAACCCACCTTTTCTGATAACAACAACTTTCTTATTTTTAGAACTATTCCATGATTCTCCCTTCGGTTTCCTCATTTTTTGTTTCTCCAGCATTTCCATGATGTAAATATTTGGTTATGATTGGAGCTACCAAGTTCTTAGGTGACTCCAGCCTCTTAAGTTGATTGAACCAAGTAGAGTCATGCCAGAGTTCTTTCCATGGGTTTTTCCAGCCGAAATTAAAGAAGAGTTAGTCTCTTTTGGTGTAAACTTGAGACTGAAAATCTGGGCAGATGTTAGAAGGTAGAATGAAACAGCTAAATAGAGAAGAAGCAGAGATAGAAATGAAGAGAATCCTGGGGTCTGCATGCCACATTCTAGGTGATGCTGAATGCAGTTGCATTTCAGACCTGTTCACTGTGCAGTTACTCATTCGTCCTTGGAACCCAAGAGCTAATATACAGCCGTTTTGTTTAACTGCTAACCAGAGGGTTGGCAGTTCAAACCCGCCAGCCATTCCATGGAAGGAAGAATGGACAATCCACTTTTGTACAGATTTACTGCCTGGAAACCCAAAAGGGGTTGCTATGAGTTGGAATCGACTCGATGGCAGTGAGTTTGGTATTTTTGGTTTGGAATTTTCTTTCACATAACCTATATCAGCTTAATATTGGTCAGATCTGCTGCAGATTGAGGAAAGAGATCTACCTCTTCAGAAATTTCTTTAGATCTTTATGTTCCTTTCTTTGTGCTGTTCAGTTACTCTCTAGATGGATTATCAGCACATGCATAATATATGTCTGCTAGCCATTTAAATACAATGCAGTTTGAGAAAATACAGGGTTTTCATGTGTAGTAATTAAGGTTGTGTATCAACTTAGCTGGGCCTGGTTGAGTGGCTAGGCAGCTGGATGTAGTTGTTCCCCATGGTGAGACTGGTAATAACTCCAAGGTGGAATCTACTGGAACAGCTCTGTAGTTGCTTTAGGGATGTGGTTTGCTTCCAGTATGTAAGAAGCAACTTTGAGGAAGGTCTCCGCTTTTTGGCATTTTGAACCCTGCAGGTAGTCAAGTCATTGTTCAGCAGCCTGCTATGCCCTGCCAATCATGGGACTTTTTCTGGACCTGAATTAGTCTCCTGCCATGTTGTTTGGTAATACTGGGACTGTGCCTTTCCTCTTGTCGACCTTGAGCTTGTCAGCCTCAGCAGCCAGCATATTGCTGAGTGAAGAAAAGCCTCCAGCTTCAGTGGGCAGGGAGCAGGAAGCAAAGCTGAAGCCCAAGGTTGAGGGGCTTTCACCCAACCCCTAGAACCTGGCACTTTGAACTTGGACTTCTAGCTTCCAAAAGTGTAAGAGAAAATCTCTGTTTTAGCCATCCCATTTGTAGTATTTTCTGTTAGAGTGGCACAGAGGTAACTAAAACACTACGTTTTCTA